TAGGGTGCGCCATACTAGCCCTCGAAAAGTTACCTAGGGTGCGCCATGGTAGCTCTTGAAAAGTTATCAAGGGTACCTCCTGATAGTCCTTGAAAAGTTACGAAGGGTACCCCTTGATAGTCCTCGAAAAGTTACCTAGGGTGCGCCATGGTAGCCCTTGAAAAGTTACAAAGGGTACCCCTTGATAGCCTTTGAAAAGTTACAAAGAGTATCCTCTGATAGCCCTTAAAAAAGTTGAAGGTAGTATGAGAGGTAGCAGTCTAGAATTGACATTGCGTATATGCATTAGCATTAAAAATAATGCTAAATTAACGCTAACGCCTAAGCATTAATTAACGCTAACGCCATTAACGCTAAAGCATTAGCGTTAACTGTTAATGCTAATGCTTTTGCATTAGCATTATTTTTAACTTAACGCTAATCCGACACCCCTAGTTAAAATCCCAAATATAATTTTTTTTTTCTTGTGTTTTACAAATGATTTTAATCTCTATAAAAAAAGCAAATTCAATTGTAAACAAAATGTACTTGATTTTGTTCTTTTGATTTTGAAATTAGAAAAATTGAAATAAAAAAAAAATATATATACAAATACATATAAGAAATAATGAAAAACAAAAATATGAGAAGGATAATACAAAAAATATAAAAAATTGACAAGTTTTTACATTCGTATTATGTTTTAGTGAGTTAAATAGAATTTTTTAAAGATAACTTGTGACGTTAACATTTTGACGATGTGAATTACGTTTTGATTGTCCTTCTCTAGAAATATTACTTTGATTAAAATTATATACATTAGATGATGGTGGTGAAAAGATTTCATTTCTTGTTAAAGGTGATGAAGGATGATAATTAGATTGAATAGGAGCTGAATGTTGTGAAGAAATATGTTTATGTGTATTTACTGGATTTGAATATGTTTGTTGATGATGAACATGATCGGAACCATTCATCATTTGTGAAATACCTTAAAAAGAAAACATTCGAATTTTATTACACAAATATTTTATTTAATCAAATCATTCGATTTATTCTTTTAATCAAGTTTTTGAAAGTTGTATTCTATCTTTGGAGTCTTCTGGGCAGATTGTTCTATTTTCTTCTTTTTTTTTTTTTGTATTTACATAAAATGTTTCTGGATTGACGTATATAAACATTCAGGAAACTAAATATACAGAGAATAAGTCTCTATAATAGTGAAGAGTTCGTATTTACAGCTGGTATCACTAATTTTTCAAGATGATTGTTTTTCGAGTCGAAAGAGGTTTATTGAAAACAAAAAACCGAACCTAGTTCACGAAATTTCAGAGCTATTCGACTGTAGGTCTATAGAATGATATATATATAATGAAACTACATGTTGGAGATACGGATGGATACGCAACAAAATTCAATCGTAGTATTTGATAACAACACTCGATTATGAGCTACTCAATTTTAACAAGTTAAGTACTTGTATAATCTTTCACTTTTTAATTTGTGTTCAGTACTTGTGATATTTTGTCACATTCTATTGTAGTATCCCATTACATGACGATACTAGGAATTTGATAAGATTTGACTGTTGGATTGATTTCCCTAGATATAATAGTACATCGATATCTCATAAAGCATTTACTAATAAAATTTTAACCATTCGAAATCCTAAAACCATAAATATCGATTTTGAAATATTTCATCAATTTATAAAAAAAAAAAAAGAATGTATAATTGTGCTAATAGTACAAAAGCTTCGAATAATTCTTTTGTATTTTCTTTAGATTAAATCAAACTTACCAGGATATGTTGGCATATAAGAACCATACGAATGAGCTTGTTGTTGAGATCGATTTTCTCCTCCATTCATAAACGATTGATTATATGATGAATGTGTTAGACCATTAAAACTACTACTATTATTACCTTGTTGAATCCATTTTGGAATCGTATCATTAGAACTAGCTGAAAGTTGATATGGATGATATCCATTTAATTTATTTGATTGTGAAGCATATGGTTGTGATTTCATAAAATTTGATGATGTTGATTGATCTGATGTATGTGATGGAAATATAGTTGTATTAACTTTTTCTGATATACCTTTTGAAGAAAGATTTGGTATTGATTGATGATGTTGTGGTATGAATTTTTTTTGACGATTTGGTAAATTAATATCAGATATTTGATTATTTGGATTTGTTATTCCAACATGTAGATTTGATTGATGTATTGATTCAAGATGATTTTTATTTAATGATGGTGATGTTGGTTCAATTTTTGATGAAATATCAATTTTACTTGATCGAGGTGGTTTAAATGCACTTTTTCCATTTTCATAATGAATATTTGTTTCTGTTAAATGAGTAATAGGTACAGATTTTGGTATTGATGGTATTATTACAATTGGTTTAACTATTTTATGTGAACATTTATTTTGATTATTAAGTAATATGTGTTCTTGTGGTATTGTTTTTAAACGATATTGATCATAGTTTTGATTTGTTTGTTGTTCAATATTATGTTCTGATAATAATCTTTGATTTTCATTTGATGGTGGAACAAAACGAAAACGTGGTCTTGATGATAATTTATCAATCGAAGTTAAATCAATTAAACTAGCACTTATATTATTTGATGTTAAATAATTTGTTTTATCAATTAAAAGAGATAAACGTTGATGAGATTGAACATTTTTTGATAATGGTTTTATTAATAAATCTTCTGTTGATGTTGCTATTGTTTGTAAATGTTGTGGATGAGAAATTTTTTCTTTTGTTATTGATTTTGTTGATGAACTTATTTGATTAAGATTATTTTCTGATGTATGATGACGAACATTATTTATACGTTCATCTGATATCATTTGTTCAAAACGATCACGAATATTTTGAAATTGATTTGAATGAAAAGCTTGAATATGAATTGAACCTTGAGAAGTTATTGTAGAAGAAGTATTTGTTTGAGCAGATTTAATACCCTAGAATAGAAAGATTTTAATGAGATATGATTTTGAATAAGAAATTATTGCTTAAAGGGATATGTAACATTTTACTTAGAAATAATTGGATATGACACAGAAAATTATGTTTAGCAAAAAAAAAAATTTTTGACGAAAATCATTTTGTAAAGAAAATTATTTTCTGTTATATATTATTCAATGCAATTTAATGTATTTTTGTAAAGTCGAAAAAACACTCGAAAACACCAAGTTTTTTTTTTTTAAGATACCTACTATGTATTCCAGAAGTGTTTTGCACTAATAGGAATTAGAGACAGAAGATAGAAGAACATTTAGGCAGAATTTAGAAAAGTGTGGAGGTTGCATACGAGTAGATTGCTCATTTTATGAGACTAGTCTATTTGACATCAGTAGAAAAAAATATTATTTGTTTTCTCAGAAAGTTAAACGTGCAAATAAAAACAAAATATTTTGTACAATTATATGAAGTTCGACATGAAGATTCGGAAAAATTTTCTTAATTTATCTATCGAACAGTTTAATTTTGTTAGATATTGATTTTCAGGCTAATCTTTCGACAATGGATTTTCCAATTCCATTGAAGATTATAACAAAGCTATTTATATCATTAGATAAACTATATTTCCATTATAGATCCATGATCCATACTGTCAATATCTTTAAAAAACTATCATTAGGAGAATTTTGTATACGAAGAATAAGCGCAGCGCAAATTTTTCTGCTAGAGGTTTTAATAATTTGGTTGAATTAAGACGCGAACTAACAACAAAAAGCTTCCATTTGTGTAGAATTTGATAGAAGACGTTTCGAAGCTAGATTAGAAATCGAAAAATGAGGTTTGATCATTCACAAACAATATGGTTTTTTTTTTCAAAAAATGTTGATTATTCATGTTAGTCTCTGTTTAATAATATGATTTCTTGAAGCAGAAGACAAATTCAGAGAAAATTTGAATGCAAAATAAATATTTTTATAAAACATACCATGAAGTATTGATTATGTGCTATTACTTAATTAAACTTCTCAGAAATTTACAACCGTGATAGATGATGATTATTCTTATTAAATCAATCAAAAACTGATAAAATATAATAAAATTTCTATTCAAACAATATTTTTTCTCTGTGTACGGTATTTTTTATCGTGTCACATAACATTCTCGGACGGGTTTCATTGTATCTATTGAATTCCTTTTTTTCTTTCCTTGAAAGAACACGTAAAGCCGCAAAGTTTGACATAATCTCTGTTTTTCAAGTAAACTTTGCATTTATTATATATAGAAACACGTCTATCAATAGAACTCTAGTTTTTAGAGATTTTTTTGTGAAATATTAATATTGTTATCATTTTCATCTAAGAAAAAAAAACAAAAATTATTTAAAAAACTCACTCTGTCATCTCCATAGCTTAATATAATCTTTCAAGCAAAAAAAAAAACTTAAATATACAAAATAAATATCATAATGGAATTGGACCTGTCGATTGAATTGTTATTCGATAAATATCTCCGAAAAATTTGGCTACACCTTATTCACTATATGTAAAAGTCTTGATGTGAAATATTCACTCATTTTTCAACTATTTAAAGACAACTGTCTAGAGTCAAAAAAACAGTTAGTTAAGATCCGATTTTTTTCTCTATATTATTTTAGATGATTTTGTATTTTCGATTGAAACCTATCAAATTCGAAATGGCAACACGTATAAGTTTTCGTTTATTATAATGTCTCATTTTATATAGGTGATATTTGTTAACTGAATAAATACATAACAAGAATTCAAAAATTTTCAAATCTTTCATAAGTAAGTTTAATATAGATTGAAACTAAGACAAATAAGAAATTCTATAAGAAAAGAATTTAGCAGAGAATTGCAATAAAAAAAGACTCCATTGCGTATGTCTCTTGTTTCTACTCAATCAACTGCATTTATTTCGCTTATGACATATTTGCGTATGTCTATCGTACATCAAATCGCTGCGCTCTGAATGGACAAATTTATCTTAATCTTATAGAAACATATTTGGCAACGAAAATGTTAAGTTATATGATTGGCATAAGGAATTCCTTCTTTTTTTTTTATTGATATAAGAATTAAAAATTTGGAAAAGATAGCTCAACGTTAAATAGTAAAAAAACGAAATCAAACTTACACGAAGATCTTGTTTATTTTGTTGAATACCAATATTATTTGATGATTTTATTCGTGAATAAGATTTTTCAATTTTATTTTCATCTCTTATATCTTGATCACATAAATATTCATTAAGAATTGAATCAAAATAATTTAATGTTTTTTCAATTTGTTCATCATCATCATTATTATTTTTATGTTGTATAAATTTACGTTTTTTATCATGTTGATTTTGTTTATTCATAATATTTTTTTTTGTTTTCTTTTAATATAATTGATTAATTAAAAGAAAATATTTTTTTATATAGAATAAATAAATTCTATTCAATAATTTTTTACCAAATAACTAGATATTAAAATAAAATTATAAAATTGATATTCAATTTTCTTCTTTTATCAAATACTAGTCTTATAATGTTTGCTAGTGGATTAATAAAAAAGACGTCCTTTAAATTTAATAAAGATATGCAATATTAACATAATATTTTATTGTACCTGTTTCATATCGTCAATAGTTTCTAATGATTGTATTAGATGTTTTAATATTTCTTATACAAATGATTTAAAATAAAGAAACAGTTTATTGATATGACATTTAACTATATTTAATATATATATATGTATTGTTAATAATGAACAACTATCTATGAAACTGAGATTGAATATCAAATGACAACGACCTTCGTCATGAAAGTTTTCGTTATAACCTTTATCTTTTTTTTTTTATTTGATGTTTAGCAAATATATTCATTTTATCATACAATAGAACAATTCAACCCATGATTTGATGTTTTTTTCTTTTACGAATTCTCATCATTTTTTTTTATGGCAATTCATCAAAAAATCATAATTTAGTATGTATGATATTTCATAAAATAAAATCAATGAAGTAAAATATTTGCATATATAACTTTTAAAATAGCATAAACATTTTCATTGACAAAAAAAAAAGGAATTTTCTTACAAATCGAATGATAAGACCGACTTACTTAATAATTATCAAATTTCGTTTCTTTGATATATTCAATTATTTTTTATTATAATTATAAGATAATAAATAATGATAACTTTTTTTTTTGTCATCGAATCATAGTTGATTATAAGTGTTAAATATAACACAAGAGCATTGTATCTAATATGAATATACTGAAAGAACAAAAAAAAAGAAATTCATACATCATATTAAGAGATAGGCACAAACAAAAAGTTCAACGATTGCTTTTCACACTCAAGATAAAAAAAATACATAAAATATTTCATTCGATGGAATTTTATTGGTGATGCATGCATACATTAAAAAAAGTATTTGCGCTAAAAAACACAATCATTTCTTTATGACTGCATATATATATACACACACGATATAATCTCAGCTTTAGGGTTTTTTTTACGTCCCTGTATGTATACCCTTCCCTACTTCATTTTTTTTTTTTTTATGTTCCTAAAAAGAAAAAAAAGACGTCAATTGAGTATTCGTAACAATTTGTTACACATATGCATATACACATAAGAAAAAAAATATTTTGTATACATATGAAGATCGATTTCATCATCGTTGTTGAATGATATTCAAACATCTATCTTATACACGTGTTGATAAGAAGACGAAAAAAGAATGTTTAAGAGACCTAGAAATACAATGACATTTACGATATCATTAAATATATTATGTTAATGTTTTACTGATAAAAGAACAAAAAAGAAAAATTGTTTAAATTAAATTCAAATTTTGTAATAGACAATTAATATATATCCGAATAATTTAATTAATATTTATATAGTATTTAATTATTAATTCTAATTAAGGAAAAAAATTATTTCATTAATCGAAAATGAACAATTTTTTGTGTTAAGTAACTCGAAATACTTGATCAAATCAAAATCATTTTATACTTTTTTTTTTCTACATCATTCTATGACTTTTGTTCATAAATAATAAAATATATATTTGTATTGTTCACCTATGAACATATGCATACATTTACGAGAATTTTGAATTAAAAATTTTAATAAGTGAATTGAGGAAGAATAATTTGATTCTATAAATTGTTCAATTCTCTTTCCTTATGTCTACATATATTCTTCTCTTCACATATTTCAATACTTACCAGGAAAATGCAAAAAAGAAAAAGAAAAGTAACAAACATAATGGTACACATGACAACAATATCACTTATGATCATATGAAATATGAGAACTTATCGTTAAAATGTGGACACGTTTGAATCAAAAATCAGATATATATGAATTTAGATGAGCTGACAAAGATAATATTTTCTATCACAAAGATAAAGATGATATTATTTCGAATAAATAAAATTGATAAAACATCATATCGAAACAAATAATTACTAATCAAATGAATTATTTTGTTTATCTTAACAGAGAACTTTAAGAAATTAGATAAATAATCGACCTTTATTCTTTTGTTGTTCGATACATATGGTAATGAGATATGTTCATTAAGCCTTCAGATGAAATACGATCTTTCGTCAATAGATTTTACTATTTCAAAAACTGTCGAGACTATGCATAGTTCAACACCATATGGTGTATAGATTTTGACAATCAATACTCTGTCTACTACCAACAAAAAAAAAGTAACAATCTAGACAAAAAAAATTAGATGAGTCTATTAATCTTTTGGCTTGTGTGTTAAAAGTACTATGTAAGTTAATTCAATCGAGACTCCGTGTTGAAGATCTTTCGTGATTAACATACAAAAAATTGAACAAACAAATTATTTGAAAGGCTATATGCTTGAAATATCTCCTATGCCCATTCTATGCAACATCGAATTTTGGATAGTAAATTTTGTTTTTTTTTTTTTGGAGTTTTTATTTGACAAGTCATACCATCAGTAAACAGTATTGCAAAAAGAGATGTGCAGAATCGAATGAAGATTAGAACAACAAGACAAAGAAAAAAGGTTAATGAAGTCGAGACAAGGACTAAAGGTTATCGGCAAATGTTCTAATGTTTTGAGTGAATTATCCTATAAATAACTAAACTCAAGAGAGAAGACTAAAAAAGACGACATTTATCGGCTATTAATGAAATAACATGTATTTACGACTTTGTTTAGCATAAGTACGAAAATATTTTGAAATATTTTTCTCTAGGTCAAGACAAAGACTTGTTAGACGACGAAAAAAACTAGAATCATCAAGATTGAGACTAGATCGATTGTGCCAGAACTATGATCGAAGTCACTAGGCGGAAAACTTGTTGAACGAAAACCAAGATTGCATGGTCTGGGTGTAGTATTATAATAAAACGAATTTACTTGGTTAACTCAATGCAAAATAGAAGTTGCATCTCTTCAAATGACTGATTAAAGATAACGTTTAACTTCGACATTTAATCTGACCCCTTACAACAGTATTCTGTAACTTGTATCATTCAGTGCATAATGGCGTGTAGAAACTCGAGTTTCCTGATTCATGGATTATATTTATTTAAAAGTTAGTATGAGAAATAATGATGCACTTAAAGCAAAGATTTGATTCAAAGTACTATAGAACCAGAAGGTTACATTCAGTATAGTTAAGTTATAGTAACAAACGTTCAAAAGAATGTGACAATGTCTATTGAATGGGACTAATTTGTCAATTTTTGATCGATATTTTTCTTTTTTGTTGGTGATTTCAATGATGAGAGGTGACCGGATATCGTCGTTGCTAGTTTGTTTAGCAACAATGTTCTCGACTACAGACATTTGCTATTCGTGGTTTCAACGATCATAATCACATAGAGACATTGCTGTTGCTCTTACCAGACTAATAATGTGAGTTCTTTTCTTGAATATGACAATAACTCTATTGCACATAAAATAACTTTTCAATCAATGTTTATCAACGATCTCTAATCATTAGTGTATTCAACCACAATAAATACTTGGCTATGATCAACGTTTCTCTTATGTAAATCAAGTCATCTATTCAAGTGGCTCTAACTCTCAACTGTACTCAGTTGTCATTGTTGATTTCAATCACGGCAATTTACTTGGCAACTGTGTTGCCAATCATAGCTCAAATAATTTAAGCGTACTTCTTTGTGGAAAGACAATGTTACAATCGACTTTAGTCGTTTTTTTAAATCTTACGATTTATTGAACTGTCCAATGCTGCTCAACCTTTGATTGGGTACCAATGGAATTTTTTCGCTAATGAAGTTGAAAATATGTGTCATTTTTGAAGAATATTTGAATTTTTTCGGAACCAATATGTTAGTATTATGAATCGCATAGATCAGTAAGTTTGAAATACTAATATGATTCAAATGAATTACTTGTGTGAAAAACTCACTGTGAGCTGATATTTCATATTATAGAATGTATAATAGAGAGACGCCAACGAATAGAAAAATTTTAGTGCAGAGTCCATTTGTTTCGATTCAGTTTGAATAGAATGCAACAATAATATTATGTAATTCTATATACAATCCATTTTCTACGATGTTTCTTCCTGACAATGATAATTGTCTATCAAGTGTAACATGTATATTTTTTTATCCACCTTTCGAGTTAAGCCCAACTTTACTTTATAAATAGTTTCCATTGTGAATATGTGCCAATAAAACTATGAGTAAATCTTTAATTAATATCAACTTTTGATAACATCCTTCATAGTTAATGATTTTTATACAAATTGCTTACTGATAACGACAACAATGCAATCGAACATGATAAAGGAGAGTTGCTCCCAATCGAACCCATTCTAGTTTATTACGAAGTGCAACATGGTCATTCATATATATATAATAGCAATACATAGCTTACGTCGTCAAAAGTGTTTCTTACCATCATTGCTGCCATCTTCTCAGTCAATATCATACAAAAAAAAAACGGAAGTCTACTCCGACAAGCTCTGTCGTAGGTATAATTCTTCTCTCCACCCTTACGCAGACAGACATATGGTTTCAAATCTACATCTACACCGACCTTCGCCATCAATAGTCTAGGTTCTTACAAACAATACATTTCCTTCAGAGTTACAACCAAAGCAAGTTGATTGATTTAAATGTGCATATAAATGTCGAATTAGTTTACCAGCAGCATCTTTTGATTCAATGATTATGTGAGTTCCATAGGCATCACCCCAGTTTCCAGCTTTTACAATTCCTGCTCTTGTTGCTACAACTTTTGTACCAATAGGACATGCATAATCAGCTCCCGTATGATAACCAGTTGCTCAACTGCCTTTTTTACCAAATGGTGTTGTTATTGCTCTACCAGGAACTGGCAATACACCATTTACTTGATTTATAATACAATAAATGAAAATGAAGATAAAAAATAGACGACATAAACCATGCATGTTAGGCATTTTTTTTCAATGTTTTGTTTTGAGAAAAACACAACAATGATCTAGTACTACCATATAAATATATTTATAGTAGATATATACAAGAATACCTGGTCCTGAAAACGAAAAGGCTTATGGACCGTTTATATATCACACAGTTATCTGATACCTTGACTGAATAGTTTTTTTCTTCTATATGTTAATCATACTTGAAGTGCCACGTTTCAAAAATAAAAAGAACGAGCACTTGCACCGAGTAAGAATTGTATAAATATTGTTTCAATACCGTTCTGAATTTCTTATTCACAAAAAAACAATACTGTAAGGATGTGGATATGGGTGTACTCGAAATGAATAGAATTTTTGTGATTATTTGAATATTATATCATAATCTAATAGGTGTAATACTCAATAAAATGAAACATGTAGTATTTATGAGAAACTAGAAACTAAAATGAGTTTTTAAATACCTATCACTCCACTTACGATCATCATAAATTGATAAACGTGATAAGTAAAAATATTTTTATTCTAGTAAAAAATTTCAAAAAACAAAACATCTGACGAATCCATAATCTTTCATCAAATATCAAAAGCAAAATAGCTTCAAATAATGGCATTTAATACTAGTTCCAAAAAGAAAAATAATGATTGATTGACGATGAAATGATCCTTCTCAAAACTTTTTAGTATGAAGATCTGCAAGAAGATGATATTTATAAGGTAAGATATTGTTTTTCAAAATATCCATTACTATTTGTGAAATCTTCAATTACAAAATACTGATCGAGAAAAAACTTATTTCAGATCAGAGATGGGATCGGTTCGTTTTAGTTCCGAAAAAAAAACATGAATTGATACGATTTTTGTTCTAAATTATTATAAAAATTTTATTCAATTAAAATAAACAACCGAACCAATGCTTATTTGCTATTGAGATTTGATAAAAACGAAAGTACAAAAAACAATCAGCAAGGATGTATTCTAAAAAAGATAAAATTACATCTGAATACGTAGTTTCGAATGGCGTATATTCAAACTAAGCTATCTCATTTTACACATGTATATATCTTATATATAGTGCAAGAAAAAACAATATATTAGATTAACAGTAAAATAAAGTTACAAATTCAACATGAAGTAAGATGAGGATAAGTGTGAGGTTGTGAGAGACCATGTTGCTATGCACATGGAGGCTATCACTCATTATTCATGATTGTAGACGAATGAAGCTTAAGTTGCTTGAAAATGAAGTTTTTCAATAGTCGAATAATTCGTTTATGAATCTAACACTTACAGACTGATTTCATTGAAGTTCAGCAACTGATCTCACTAACACTGTGACCATTTTATTGCGACTAAAGGATAATAAAAAAAAAACATGATTATATGTTGATTGAAAATTGACCTATTCATTTTCTTTGGTATGTTAGGTATAGATCTTCTCTTCAATCAATATTCAGTATACAATGTCGAATAATTAAGCATGGCTAGCCTAACGTACAACTGTCCATTGCTGAAGATAAAATCAACGATCTGAATGTTTGTATATCGGGTTCTCTCCTGGATCAATATAAATTTCACTTAGTCCGGTAGTAACTTGATGCATTCTCTAATGCTACAATATAAAAATAGCAAGTGTGTCATTATTTCACGAGAACTTTTTTTTCTTAAGGTTGTCACAATCATCTTTTTGTTTTCAATATAAACTTAACGTTTTTCAATTTTATTTTCGTATTGTCATAATAGTATTATATATTATCTCTTTTTTGTCAACTATTGGAAGAGAACTTTTCGTTTATAGTCATGCATTTGATTAAAATGAAATATTCAAACAAAAATGCAAATAAGAGACAGTAATCATTCACTATTCATAGTTGTTTATACCAATATGTTCGAATTTGTTGACTTTTGCTTATGATTTTCTTATATAATGCTTTCTAATGAAAAAAATATCTCTAGAATCAATCATATAAACAATAGGCATGTGTATCAACATGAGTCGACCATGGATTATCACAGGAATATATTGCTAACGAATCTATTCAATTATTTCTTTCATTAAAAATAAGAGATGATGTAATTATGTACTTTGAAATGGTGTCAATAAATTGATAAACGATGGATGCTATATTTTCTTGATCATTACAAAAGTAATCTGTTTACAAATGTTAATTTCCAATAAATCCAGTTAGTTTTTCTGTTTAATCGAAATTTGCACACACGCATTCAGAAGTATTCAACAGCATCTGTCAAATGATCTTTCAATCATAGCACCATATGTCGAAACGATTGTCTCCATATGGAATATAAACAAAACAAAAAAAAGAACTTTTGTTAGTCATAAGTCATAATCAATATAAGTGGTATGAAGATTAATTGTGTTCTGTAGTATGGACGAAGGAAAGATTATAATATTTTAGTGCTCATCAAAAATTAAAACGAAAATTTTTCTAATAAATATGATTTTTATTTTATATATTTATGTACAATTATGATATATGAAATAAAAAGTAATTAGACAAAAGAAGAGAAGATTTCAATGCTCTTATTAGGTAAAACACTTAGATATGATCAATTGATATGTTTCTATTTACAAACAATCAAAATTAGAATACTTAGCACCAACAGACATGGCTGTAGAATAAGAGATTGTCCTTTATTGTACCAGTAATTACCGCCAGTTGCATACCATCCTTGACTTCCAGGTGGATAGTTATTGTATGGCCTATTATAATAGTTATTAGGTCTTTGCCAGGCGTTATTATTATTAGAGTACAAATATTGTTGTACTGCTTGTTGAGGTGATGATGGTTGACTTGGATTTATAAGATAGTTACTTAGACTAGAATCAGGATCATAACTTATAGGTAAGATACCACCGTGTGGACTGTTCGGAGGTTTTATAAATGAACCATAATTTGGATCGGCTCCAACACCTAAATATGAACGAAGAAAAAAACCTTGCACGTAAAAATTATTCATGTACAAGAGTGATACGCACCATAATAGTAGGTGCCACCATAGGAACCACTTGGTTTGCTTGCCCAAGATGTCCGCCCTTGATCGAATAAAATATTGGTGCTTGAAGGATTCAATTGACGACGATAACGAGGAAGTCCATGTGCTACAAATATCAATATTCATATTTATTGAATTAAATTTTTTTATATTAACTTATTGTTGTAAAAAATATAGTTATAAGAAAGAGTAAATATAAGTTCGGGATCATTGTTGATACTGATGTGTTCATAAACAACGAAGATCAGATGGCGTCGTTTTGCTTCTCTTGCTCCTTGTAAGAACGTCAATGAAAGTAAAAAAATGACAACCTCTGTAGTGTCTCGCATTTTTTTTCTTTTGGCTCGTGTAATATTTTTTCTTTCTACGTACTGACTCATTTTACCATACATTATTGCCGATAAAAAAATCATAGAAGAACACTCATTGGTGACAAGACAATGAGGAAAAAAAGAACAACTGCACAATTACAAAATCAACGTCTGATTCGGTTTCTCCAGAAAGAGAATAGAGATGTGGCTATGAGGATAAGAAGGGCATACATCGCACTTTTAAAAATTTGTAGTATTATTGCGATCTAAATCGGATTTTTTTTATTCAAACAAGGTCGTAAGATGAAAAAAAGAAAGTTCAGCCTTCCTATTTTAAAAGAATATATATGCAATTTTTCAGTTCTCAAAAAATTTCCTTAAACCTCTGCCGGTCTCGCACTTTTTTTTCGCTTCACTACGCCCTTGAAAGAGAATAATTAATGGAGTAGATACAATTTCTATTGGATATGCTCCCTATAACGGTTTTTAAATAAAAACAAAATATTGTACAGAATAGAAAAAAAAGTGCCCGAAATGCAAACTAAAATAGTAACTATAATAACTTTTTTTTTGCGCTGACTTACATTTCAAACATTGTCTCTTGTAAACACTGGGATGTACTAAATAATGAATAAATTTTTAGGTATGGGTATGGGTGCTTGCTTCTCTTGACTTGTACTGTTACCTAACTTTCTGAACAATACTATGTTTTACCATTGCATGGGTTGTGTGAGGCAGCTCACGCATGAGAGATTTGAAAAATTCTACAGGAAATACTTCTGATGTCAACAATGATAATTCATTGTCATAAATAAAATACTATGGTTTGTTATGTATGCCCGTTGATTAGCATTATTCTTTATTGTTATTAATTAATTATTCCAACAGAACATCAATTATTTTGGGGAGAAAAAACGATCAGGCGATGTAACATCAGTATTCTTCTTACTGTCAAAACATTTTCGGTTCCAAGAATGGCCAATCAAATAAGTTAACTTGATTTTCTAAGGTTCTTAAACGGTCAAATTTCCTTTTAGATAGTTTTTACTTGTTTCGATCATTTTCATGATACTTGACCGGCAAATACCGTCATTTCAATCATCTAGCAGATTTTTTTTCTCTATAGTAGTATTCTAATGTTATCGAACTGTAACAGACCGAAGTTTCATAACGCTTGCGATAAAAACTAAAATCAATTAAGAATCATTGACATGTATTCAGTTACAATGTCTTATGATCAGTTCTGGTAAGATCATATTGAGTTCTTATCAATGAAAGTCGATTGTGATGGTGCTGAAAAAGAACAAATAATGTTGCGAAATAAGAGAGATAAACCTTTCGGTTTACCTTTTGAATCGACTCTTTGACTTTCTAATCTAATTCTTATTTTCTGTTTCGTTACAAAATCAAATGATCAAAATCAGACGTTTTCAGAATCACATGATTAGCGACATCAATCATCGCTGGATTTCTTACCGAGACAGATATTTTCCAAATCGAGAAGTTTCAGTAGAAATGTCTAGTCACTGTAATAAACCATCGAAAATTTGCTCACTTGACCTTTCTTGTTTAGTGACTTGAGAAGGCGATTCTACTAGTCGATCTTTTGATAGTGTTCAATTTTGCTCTGGTCCCTTACCAGATGAAGATTTCATCGGCATACGAAAGAATACATCGAGTAGATCCTAATACTTTTTTCATAAAAGAGGAAATTTTGTTTTGAAATCCAACGTTCTACAATTGATTCATGACTATTCATACAAGTGAATCTAAATTCTGAGTTCTCTATAAAAGGTGATGAGTACAAAAAAGACTGACGACCGAAAGTTATGTGCGGTGTGAATTATGATGCTTTATGCTTTGGCAAGATTTCGACGTCAGTGGATCGTCTCATAATGCTAGTTAAGGTTCAATATCATTCCACTCCTTTTCCATTTCATTTGAACTGGCTCTTGGAAAGAAGTTTTGCATTTTATTATCCTTCAGCCATGTTTCGAATGCATGAGGGCACAGTTATTTGATTACATCAAATATTGATAGCTTTCAATCACTTTCACAATCGAGAGTAATCACATCAAATTTGCTTTCTCAATAATTATCAGATATTCTTCCACAAGTTTTTCACTATGACTTCATTCGGGCGATTTTCATCTACTATTACTTCGACTCAATTCAGCGATTCTGGATTTTTGATTTTGTATGCAAGTGGAATTGGAAAGTTCTCCGATGACTTTGAAGTTTGTGTGCTGCTGAAGTGTTTTACGATGAACGGACTTCAGATCGTTTGGTCTTTGTATTAATGATTGCTTCAGCTAGGTTTTTTAGTCTTATTGGCATATCATATCTACACTGACATCAAGATACAGCGTAGAAATACATTGTAGAAAAAACAGATTTTAATCATTTAAACTAGAGATTTCCAGTCATGTATCAGAAAACATGGGGATCGATCGATGAGATCAAGCACTAATAGCTTGTGTTTGTTAAAATTTGATCTTCAGTTGACATGTGTGACTTTCATCAGCAATTTTCTCACCGAATTTGTATTAATCAAGGCGATTCATTATTCACTGTATCATCATCAACAGAAATGTGAATGTAATTTTCACCCTTTTCTGGAGCAAGAATAATATTTTCTCGGTTCATCAATGATAGTTTGAATATGCTAGACTTCCTGATGGTGCACATAACTGATCTATGTATTTCAAAGAAATACACTAGAGGACTAGAATGTTTTCTGCAAATCGACGAAAGACCGACTTCTTTATCTTTTATAGTATTCAGATAATCTTTGTCTTCCTCAGGCTCGTGCTGGGACCATTTCTGTTACGAAATACGCTCGTATTTGCAGTTTTTGACTGTCACAAACTTATGTCAAATTAAAATAAGTATGATATTCGGAATTAGTATTAAAACTGCATCGAGCAATATAGATTATATCAAAACTTTTTTGTCAAGATGGGATTCCTACTCACCTCAGCTTTTCTAATATAATTAATACTGATCCCGAATATCCTTTTTGTTCTACTTGAACATAAACTTGTAACAGTCACAAATCTGCCATTACATGCGTATTTTATAACAAAAATCAGATCAGTAAAAGTCTCAAGTAAATGACGAATATCTGAATACCATAAGACAATAGTATAAATATTAATTGTGTTCTGTAGTACGAGAGATTATTCTATTAACATTTTTACCCAAACTACAAAGAAGAATTTCTTTAGTAAATGTGAATTTTATTTTATATATCAATGCAGAATTATGTAATATGAAGTAGAAAGTAATTAGAAAAAAAAAAGAGAAGATTTCAATAATCTTATTAAATAACATACTATTACATATTATCAATCAATAGTTTTTTATTCGCAAAAACATTAAAACCAGAATGCTTAGCACCAACAGACGCGGCTGTAGAATAAGAGATTGTCCTTTATTGTACCAGTAGTTACCACCAGTTGCATACCATCCTTGACTTCCAGGTGGATAGTAATTGTATGGTCTATTAGGATAATTATATTGTTTTCGCCAGGCGTTATTATTATTATTGTACATATACTGCTGTACTGATTGTTGAAGTGACGATGGTTGACTTGGATTTATAAGATAGTTACTTAGACTAGAATCAGAATCATAACTTATCGGTATGATACCAACATCTGGGCGATTCTCAGGTTTTATAAATGAACCATAATTCGGATTGGATCCAACACCTAGATAGATATGAATGAAGAAAGAAAATGTACATAAAAGTTATTCATTTATAAAAGCGATACGCACCTTTATGGTAAGTGACCTGATAGGAACCACTTGGACTCCTTGCCCAAGATGCTTGTTCTTGAACAGATAAAATCTTATTGCTTGAAGGATTCAATTGACGACGATAACGAGGAAGTCCATCTGCTACAAATATCAATATTCATATTTATTGAATTAAATTTTTATATTTACTTATTGTTATAAAAAATATAGTTACAAGACAGAGTAAATAGAAGTTTGGGATCATTTTTTGGTAGTTATAAGTTCATATACAACGAAGATTATATCACGTCGTTTCTCTTCGCTGTCTCTTTGTAAGAATGTCAATGAGAGAGATAAAGAATATGGCAATCGTTGTAATTTTTCTTTGTTTTTTATTCAATTTATTGTATCATGTTAGGTTTATAGTTTTACAAGAGACAAGAAAAGAAACAGACGGAGAAAGTATAAATAAATTTTCTATCAACACATCGATTTTCTTACATGAGTCAACCTACACAAGGAGAACGAATGCAAGAGATAGAAAGAGAAACAAAATCTTGACAGAACATATATACTAGAAGACAATAATAAGCAAATAATTTAGTATATAACTGCCACAAAAAAAAACTAGAACTTCATCAGCATTCAAAGTATTTTTAAGATCAAGCTTTCGGTGTGTACTCCCAGTATCGTCATGAAGTAATAACAACAAGCAAAAACAGAAGTACCACGTACCTATATATATAGGTACAATTGTTTGTCTCGACGGAGTGAATGTATTGGAATACAAAAAGAGTATATATATTCGCAAATATATATTGGAAGCACATTAGTTATAGGCTATTCAATATGTCATCTGTCGAGAACATGTACATAGTTTTATTGTGATGGATGACAAAATCATTATTCGATCATAAATTATTTTTTACTAATGTCTTTTTTCAGCAATCTACAGTGATTCCTTTATTGTAATTAAATAAATAGTTAATTAAAAATATAAATAAGATACATCCATATCCATGTAATATCAGTAGTTGATTATTACTGATATGCAGTTAATAATAAACGTACTAAGATAAAATGTGTTGCAAAATGCGACACAGTGCACAGTGCATTCAAGTGCAACACGAGGTGCTCGTTGCGACACAATGTGCCAAGCAAGAACGCGACACATTCAAATAGCGAGTTTTTCCACAAATAATTTTTTGTTTAATCTCAAAAATAAATTTACACATGATAATCCATATGATTTGTAGATTCTTTTAATAATAATTTTTAAAAGAATTTTGGATTGTGATGTCAGTATCGTTTCCATAAAGTGCAAAATTATCTAATATTTTCAGTATTTATTTGTTGCATCGTATAAATTTAACATTATATAGAAAAAAAAGGCTAAAAATACGTCTAACATATGTATGCCATATCAATACCAAATAAGATTCGATTCGAATAGGTTAATTAAAAGTAACTTCTATGACGAAGAGTACAGAAATAACGTAACGATGACAAACTTTCTTATTTAAACAATAGGATAAGATTAATCACTTTGATCTCATCAGGAAACTAAAACATATAAATAAAATAGCAAAAATAGTGAGAAAACAATCGATAACATGTTTTTATTTGATCAAGCAATATTTTATAAACACTCTTGTAAACATGCTAACCCAGTCGAAGTCCATCATAATGCATGTTATACATTTTTTGCAGAAAAAAAATCAATTAAGGTATTAGAAGAATCAATTAAATTATATCATAGGTCTGCGTTAATTAAAATTGTATGCTATGCAAAATTTATAAGAAAGACATCGCTCACCCTGATACCATCGAATACTAGAAGAAGATGTCTTGAAAAAATATGAGTTCAATGGTCGATGATGAATCTATGATAATTATCGATAGATAGTCCATGCTAACGTCTTTGTAAACTTCAGTCAATCACTGAGGTTAATTCGCTAATGTTCAATAAAAGATATCAACCGATATTACTCGAGAACCAGGAGACTGATTAATAGCCAAATCATTATATAATAAAAGTGTTTTTAAACTATCATGTACACAGAATGATCCTCTGGACAAATCAATCGGTCATAACATTTGATCGAGTTCGTCAATTTAATGATTCAAGAGCGTCATGTTTCTTGAGAAGCTTGGTAAGCGGTTCTTCAAAAGTAATATTGAAGTATAATTAAAAACAAAATTTTGTGGGTTCAAATATTCATATTTTATCTAAAGTTAAAAATTCAAATTGGAGAATGCATTAGAAAAGAATAAAATTAATGTTGCTATGTAAATTAATCGCAAGTTCCATAATGCTGAAATTGACTTGAGTGAAACAATTCTTTTTTCTCCATATTATTTGTAAAGAAGGTAAAAAATCTTCCAATTATTTAAATATTGTCAATATGAAAGCTGCTTCTGGTTAGTTAACTCGAATATTTGTCTGTATTATTAAATGTATATTGATCGCGATGTTGCTTCCATAAAGTTAGTGTAAATTAATATTAGTTAGCTTTTTATATATAGCGGTTTCAAATTTACTATTATTTAAATTTCTAATAGTTCGAGCATTTAAAACTGAAACCTGATTATTTTTCTCGCTTTCTTATGAGAGTAAACATGGATATTTTTTTTTTGCTAATATATTTTATCTATTCAATGAGCAACCATATATATTAACATGAAATCAACCATTGATTCATGTTTTATTTTTACATTTTAAGTTAAATTTTATCATGACATAGAAGTACATAAGATGATACTAATGTTATAACATAGTTTTTTTCTTTATTGTTTTCTTTATGTTTTATACGATTTGTTAAATTTACGTTCTATTTTGTCCCACCATCTTTCTGAACAAATAACATGACTAATCTTGAGGAGATGATTCCTTAGAGTAAAATGAACCACTATGTCGGGTGTGCGGGTGAGGGTATGTGGGTGTGAGAGAGTGGGGTGTGTGTGTAGGTTTGAGTGTGAGGATCTTTCTAGTCACATCCACACCAACCCCCACGCTCTCACTCATCACACCCACGATCCACACCCACATAATCTTTCTGTCAATGAAATGCACGAAGCGGAACGTTTTAAGTTGAGTCATTGGACAGCAGGCATAAAGAATAAATTTTTTAACTATTCAAATCGATAGAGAAATACTTGACCATAAAATCTAAATTAATAGATAACTGTCAAAGTTTATCTAATTGTTCATTGTTTTATGACAACATTCTATTAAACTAAGTATTTTCTTGTTATTAAGAACAACAACTTAATGTATTTAGATTATAAACAAAAAGAATTTGTTGAACTGAAAAAATTATTAATATTGTAGTTTTACTATATCAATAAACGAAGTTTCTATTTCATAGATTAAAAGTAATGAATTATTCTGAAAAACTAACACGAAGGATCCTACATACTCATATTTAAAAGACCTACTTTTGTTTTTTATTCATATAACTATGCCACTTATTGGTGAAATATTTTATTTTCTGCGTTTTTATATTTCTATGCAACTCAATCTTTGAATATTTTTATATTTTTTCTCATTTGATTTAACAAAAAACATATAGAAGTAATTATTTATTCATTTTTTTTTAAAGACCTACTTTCGTTTTTTTTCTTTTTCTGATTTCATGTTTCTGATACATTGAGATGTTTTTCAGCCTTATGTGTGTTATTTGATCTCAATGAATAAATATGAATGTAGTCATGTATTCGTTTTCATTTTAAGCATATTGAGTACTTTGTTTAGACGTTTGGTCTACAAAAAAAGAAATATAATTTATGAAAATGTCGGATCAAACTAAATGGCCACATCTTATACGTGAAGATGGTGACAAGGCTGTTGAAATTCTCAAGAACAAAGATTAACACTGAATTTATTTAATATATATTTTATGATTCTTTTTTTTTATTATTTCTGTTAAGACATGGAACCACGAAAACTTAAATAAGGAATGTGTGATCTTAATGGAAATGATGTGAAAAACCCCAAATTTATCATGGCAAGTGGTGATGATAATAACAAAGTTGTTCATCTCACGAAATAAGAACATATCCTTTTTTCTTTTAGTGATTAGTGTATAGTTATCCGAAACATCATTAATTATATAAGACAGAAAAAACATAGCTTATTTTTGCTTTTTTTACTAAATAGTATTTTACATATAAAAAATAATAATTCAAGTACTTATGGGTAACCAAAAGTTCTGTCATCATTAAATAAGAATACGAAGATAAGGGAATATTTCCAATTTTATTTCATCAAATGATGGCAATAGTTGCTATGATTATTTATAACAAGTTCAATCCTTTCTAACAATACGTTGAAAGTTTTTTCGAATTATTTTTCAAAAAAATCTTAGCTATCGTGAAAACCAGATGAGCTATGGATATTACGTAGCGCGTTCAAAAAGTATCGGGACTAATTTTATTAAAAAACAATAAGAAGCGTTATTGTTCTTAGCTTTTAGTCTATGTGTAGTTGGAACAGTGCCCCATCTATAGATATCATAATCATTAACCAATGAAATATCTATGTGCAAAAAAAAAAGATTTTTATCAGATCACTCTTTATACACTGATGGAAATTCAAAAGCTTGAGCATCGTTCAGTAATAAAGTTTCTTGTTTTGGAAGGACATTCTCCATCCAATATTTATGAACGTATGGTGGTAGTTTATGGTGACCATGCTCCATCACGTACAAGAGTTTTTGAATGGGCTCATCGTTTTAAAGATGGGCGATTAAGTATTGAAGATGATCCTAAATGTGGTCGACCAATTACTGCAACGGACGATCAAACTGTTAAAGCTATTGAAAGTCTAATCATCGAAGATCGCCGAATTACAATTCATCAAATAGCAGATGCCGTAGGCATTTCAACCGGCACAGTAGATGGTATCATTCATGATCAATTACATATGACTAAAGTTTCTGCAAGATGGGTACCACATTTACTAACACCTGATCAAAGATATGAACGTGTTCAAGCATGTCAAGAACTTTTGGCTCGCTATTCAACGGAAGGAAACGACTTTCTTTTTCGAATTATAACTGGTGATGAATCGTGGCTTTATTATTATGATCCTGAATCAAAACAATCATCAAAACAATGGAAACGAGCTGATTCACCACCCCCAACAAAACTTAAACAACAAAAGTCGGCTGGCAAAGTTTTATATTCGTTTTTCTGGGATCACAAAGGAATAATTCTTAAACAGTCTGTACCGGCAGGTGTAACAATAACGAAGACATATTATGCAAATATTTTGGTAAATGAACTTCATCCAGAAATTAAAAAACAACGGCGAGGTTTAATTTCAGCTGGTGTAATTCTTCATCATCATAATGCACCAGCACACATATCACATCTTGTTTCTTCTACTATCCACGATTTAAAATACGAATTGCTTCGTCATCCACCTTATTCTCCAGATTTGGCTCCCAGCGATTATTTTCTGTTTCCTGTTTTAAAAGATCATCTCAAAGGAAGACACTACGATGATCGAAGTTCATTAGGATCATCAGTATATCAGTGTCTGAACAGTATGTCTAAAGATGACTTTACAGCAGCTATACTAAAACTTCCAGAACGTTGGCAAAAGTGTATTTCGGCAGAGGGACGATACTTCGAGAAAGAGCACATACATTAATCCTTGTAATGTGTTTTGTTGTTTTTTAATAAAACCAGTCCCGATACTTTTTGAACGGCCCTCGTACATTAAATTAATCAGTTAAACGTTATTCGATAGAGTTATTTAATCTAAGATCATATAGTATTAGGTATGGCTGATGTGACATTAAATTGTTCCGTTTTTCTGTTGAAGAAATATTAATATGAGATAAGTATGAAGTCAGCGAGGATCATTAAGCAACTTTGTACATTTTGAGTCTGACGCCTCTTTTTATTTCATATTACATTAACAAAAGGCTCAAGACAGTTGTCGATATAATATTTATGACCTACAGTTATGCCTTTGTCTATACCAAGACTATTTGATTTAGAGAATATATGAAACAAAATTTCAGCCCAAGTCTGTCTTCATGAACAATAGTCCATGACGATTCACCTTCAATAAGCCAGCTAGCATCAGATGAGTTATGATTAACCTATCTAAAATAAATCCATGTCTCATCAATAGTAGTGCTAGAATGCAACTCACATGATTTAACGAAATTCCGCTAAATTTTTAAACAAACAAAAAAAATAATTAGCTCATGTGGTTTCCAAGGTAGCTAAAATTTTTTTTTGAAAAATAATTCGAAAAAACTTTCAACAAATTATTAAAAAGATTTGATGATGACAGAACTTTTGGTTACCCCTAAGTATCATTATATATTTTATTTTAAAATTAATCCATTAATAAGATATTTTGCAGAGAAAATTCCTGTAAATATATTTCATAGAGATTTAAAATCATAGAAATTTAAAAGTAAAATATTATGTTCACTAGTTTATTGATATAATACGAATTTTTCTAATGAAATTTTTCTAAAACATTGATTTAATCAAAATATTTTTTTGAAATTTTTAAATATTTATTGATAATCAAATGTTAATAAAATAATGTATTTAGTATATTCATTTGTATAAATATATATTTCATTTTTTAATAATTGATTGTCAATAAAGAAACAAATAATTTACTTTAATTTTCAAATATTATTTCAAACAAATGCTTACAGAATTTCAATACAGATTTATTTACTAACAGTAAACATTTCAAAAAATCAAGAATTTTCTTTTTATTTTCAATAATCTTCTGTTCAATTGAATTATTTTAAATATCATTCTAGAATAATCCTAATTATATAAACAATAAAATTATGTCACAATTTAAACTATATTTATTTATATCCTATTTGTTCGATTGTTCTCTTAATCCAATTTTATACTAATGATTATGTACCAGTGATCATCAACTAAATATTTTATTTATCTGTATTTCATTTATAAATATTGACAAATTTTATCTTTTCATACAAAATTTCCTCAATATTTCTTTTATCCAATTCAAAATAGAACTTTTCTTTTTTCATTTATGTAGTGTCCAGAAATTCACTAGACAAAAGAAAATTTGAATATCTTCATTACAGCTCGACTAAATGGGCTCATTTTTTTTTACAAAGAATAGAGGCATGTTCACATCCCAATCCAAATATACTCCGATAGACTCAAACATGAGTCAGAAAAAAAAATTTGATCAACATTGAAAAAGAGTATTAAACATCTGCTTCGAACTGATTGATATTGATTTTCTTTAATAGTATGTTCATCTTTGAAAAACGAGCAAACATTGTTCCCAATATATATTTTATTTATCATACTACACAAACGTGGGTTTTCTCACCATCAAATATTTGTTATCAACGAATAAAGGTTAAACCAGCAAAGAAATTGTGAATGTCTGATTAGAAAGAGCATGAAATTCTGATCCTAGTGGATTACTTTTGATATTTTCCAATGACTTACAAGTTGACGAATGTTGTTCAGATACAGTGTGGGTGTGGGTAGCTGGGTGCAGATGTTCGAGTGGGTCTAGTTCTGAATGTAAAGATTTGGGTGTTAGCTTCAGTGAAGAGATGACTCACATCTACTCACATCCACACTCTTTTAATTAGGACTTGATATAGCAAAAAATGCAGCTGATCTTCTTGATAAATATTTAACTGATGGATCGAATCAAATTAGAATTAATTCCAATAATGATTTAATTGATACATCTCAAAGTAATATATAATTCATTTAAATTATATTATTAAAAATAAATTTGTTCAACTAGATAAACAATTATCTACATTAGTTAGGGTGTGGAGTGTGGGTGGCGGTGTGAAGAGTATATATACACCCACATCCCACACCCACATCACATCCATACCCCACACCCTGCAATCGGGCACGCTCAAATGAAAAAGACATTTTCTGTCTTTTATATAGAAATAATTAATAAATTCTCGCTCTTGTAATGGATTGTTAGTGAAAACAACTATAGTTGACAAGAAATCTTTCAGTATACAGATGATGTATTAGGATAACAAGGCTGAAGGATATATGTGAGTTCCACATTTCAGCTCCAAAAGAGCTGCACTAACAAGCTTTTTATCTTCTCTTGTCACTGAACAGTCCATACAAAAAAGAAATAGAGACAAGCATCTGAATTTCGTAGCATCCACATTGGAAAAACGAATTTTTTCTTTTATATGATGTACAAAAATACAAGCAAGGCTTCTGTTTTATGCACATCTCACTTTGAGTCAATGATCAATTCTTTATTTGATGAAACTCACATACATTTTCGAAGGGAATGGCGTGTGTGTGTAAGATTTAAATTGACGTTTTTGAGGATGTGAGTGTAGCATGAATTTTCTTGGAAGACAGATCACATCACTACAGCGACACCTACACCCATGTCGCCACATCTCACACCAATACCTCTAAGTAGGCAGTGACAGGTCATTGTTACGTGCCAAAAAGGTGCTGCTTTTATTTGAATTGAGAAAGCCTAAACTTTCACAAAAATAACAACAAAAAGACCAACAATTATTTCTTATACAATAAAGTAAACACACCCACATTTGAAATAGTACAATTAACTAACTGATAATGATATCTATCTGACGAGGAGAAGACGAAGGAGATCAGAGAACAACATAAAGAGTAGTTCATCTATATATTATATAGATGGCGATCTTAACAGCCGTAAATGGAATATCAATGCATATATCACAGCCTACCAAGTTATGAAACTTATGAATGCTAGTTTTAGTCGTGAAATAAGTTTCAAAGATTACGTTGAGTTTTCTTGTTTTTCGCATCACTACTTATTAATAATCGTTTTTGAAAAAACCACTATAAGATGTTGATGTGTTATTTTTACCATTTAAAGTTGGAATAGTATGCACGTTAATCTACTTGACGCTAGGAGTCGATCTGATCGACTTACAAGGATACTAGGATCGAAAGTAACCGTACTGCTTCCTACATAAGTGTTGCTATGCATCTCATCAACGCATATCGCTGATAATGATTGCTCTTCGACAAGTTTGATGGCATTTGTGTGGGAATAAATAATAAATTTTATGTTAGTTAATTGAAAATAAAAGTTCAGTATACTTCTACATGAATTTCATGATTAATATATGCGTATCGTTACATAAAACAAGCTAATCAATCAATGAAGAATAGCTGTTTCTAGGTTAGCTAAAAGAACTTTTACCGTCCGTGTATATTACTTCACATGGTCGGTATCGATCACTTCTCATGTGTACTACATTTTTTGCTTCAACACCAAGTCTGAGCATTGCACTTGTCGTTGTATTCACATGCTCGCTCCGACTTTTCATTCTAATCCAATGTATTTTCTTATAATAGGTGATTAAATTAGGATGTTGAAACAGCTATCGTGATCAGATACGACCAAATATCCTAATTCGGACAAAAAAGACAGGTAATAGAAGAGATAAAAATGATGACGAAGCTTATAAAGATGCATATGATGGTAGTTTGTTATTTGAGGAACAGATTAACACATGTTTTTCTTCGGTTCGAGCAACTTTTACCAGACAAATAGCACTTTTTTCTGTGCAGTACCCCCAAGTTCTATGTAGTGATACTAATTAGACAAAGAAATAAATGGAATAATTCAATAATGCTAACAACGGTACTATACAAATGTCTACTTCGTGTTACAAAAATTAATTAATTATTGAAGAAAAGTCGACTTAAATAGTGTTGATGACTTTTGCCAAAAAAAGGAATAAGCTTGAATGGATACATCCTTAAATGTTTCTGCCTGTTCAACACTCGACATTCGTCAACTACTTTGATTTCTCGGAATCAAACCTTGAGACGATGAATAAATTGGCGTGTGAGTGTACATGCTGGTTTTCGCTTCGAACACATACTCACCCATGTTCACATCCCTGCTGAAGAAATCAGAATTTTAGATATTTATCAAGACTCTTCACGTAGTATATGCTGCCGTATCAAAACATTTAAACGATCATGCAATATAAGAAAAGCTTTGACACGTCGATGAAACGTTACAACAAAAAAAAAGGAGATGGCCATCACTCTTTTTTCTATGGATCACTGTTTTATAGCAAAACAGGCCAATTTCACCGTTAAAACGGTATATTAGGCATTTTGCTTCTGTCTGCGTAATTATGAAAGATAAACAGTATGTTTATAGAAATATACATTGATTAAAATAAGAAGCTCGTGCTGACCTTGAAAATAAAAAGAAACAAAATGATATTAGAATGAGACGAAATTGATGGCCTTCAATAGGATTAATGATAATATTCTAGATATATCTAAAATATCAGTCGATAAGTAGACATCAAGGACAATGTTCTAGATATATCTAAAATATCACTCGATAAGTAGACATCAAGGCCAATAATCTTATATGTATATTCAGCAATTTATGAGTATTTGATTGTAAATTACAGATGTATATAAAGGCACGAAAAAGGTAACAACAATTGGAGTTTTAAATAACTGAATATCATCATCATTTCAAAACCGAAATACATTCATACAAATACAACAATGCTAGCGATTGGTTATGTGAGTCTCTTAGTAGTTTCATTTGTAAACACTGTTGGTAAGTTCAAAAGACCAAAACAAAAACGACTCGTACTGATAAATAATCATAAAATTTGTTTCAGCCGGCAACTGCTTGGTTACCAGATATTGTGGTGTTGGTCAATGTTGTTCGGCGTTTGGTGTTTGTGGTACAGGAGTTCAATACTGTGGTGGAAGTGGTTCTTCAAACTCAGGATGGTCAGCTCCACTATATATCGCGAATGATTGTCGTCTCGTAGGTTGTCGAGCTGGTTTGTGCTGCTCACCACGAGGACAGTAAGTAACTCTGATTTCCGCTTTTGTGCTATAGAAAGAACTAAATATTCATTTTAACATTTTATTACTTTTTTTGTGTACAGCTGTGGAACTGTAGGCACTTCTTGTGCAACTGTTTCTTATAACAAGTGTGGTACTACATCATGCGGTGTTGGTCTTTGTTGTACACAATATGGATAGTATGCAGATTCATTCATATTTTATATTTGATAGAAGATTTTATTTTAATAATTCTAGTTGTGCTCGAGTCGGTGCTCATTGTGCATACAAAAAAACAAGCAGTCAAAGTCAACCACTATCACTTGAAGGAAAATTTAAAGGGCAAGCAACATACTACAATGAAACCATGGTCAGTGCACAATACTCAACATGTGGCGTTGAGCGAGGAGTGTCATTGGATGAAAATAATCAAAAAGTTTATAGTGCTGCTCTTAATCAAGTACAATTTGATCCATACACTGAGCAAGGTATTCCAAGTTTCAACCCGATCTGCCAAAAGAAAGCTTTAGTCAAAGGTCCAAAGGGCGAAATTGTTGTTCGATTTATTGATCGATGTCCTGATTGTAAAGAAAGTATGTAGCTTTTGTATAAAGTTGCCCTGTTTCTTTTTTATCATCAATATTTATTCATCTTTTTGTCTCTTAGATGATATCGCCTTAACTCAAAAAGCCTTTGTTGCAGTTGCCGGAGAACTTGGCACTGGTCAGATATCTGTCGAGTGGTATTTTATCTAAAATGAAGCCATCTGCTAATGAAATATGAGCAGTAAATGAAGCCAAAAAATATAATTATAAGACAAAAATGATAATATTAGAATGATCCTTTCCGTGTTGTTTTCTTTTCAAATTGCTTGTGTTGATATTCTTTTTTACCGTGTCCGATCTATTATATAAATAAAAAGTTCTTATCATCACTGACATATATACGTACATCATGTCTTTTTACACGTTAGAACAATGAAGAAGACACACAAAGTGGCATGTCTAAGAAATGAAACTGTTTTATAAAAAATGTATAAGAACTTCTAAAATTCAACAAATCAACATGAGATTCTAATTTGAAAATAACTGTATTTGAATAAGAGCATGTCCTTCTGAAATATACCACATTTATATCCATGCTCGATGCTAACAAGAGATCTATTGTATTTTGTAGAGGATCGTTCTCTAATTAACTTTGCATTAAGTGACACTATGTATCTTATTTTCCCAGCAAAAACCCAGTGAAAAATTTTCGCGATTTTCAATCGGATTTTTCTGCAACAAAATCAAAATTATAATCGATTGATAATTTTGATTATTGTTGATCACGACTTAACTATTACTTGATATTGTTACTTATTCAGTGTGGAATTATCTGATTAAAATCGGATAGTTCTGTAGCAAATCTAGGATTACCAATCGATTAATAATTTCGATTATACTGCAAAGTAATCCGATTTCAATTAGAAAATTTCGCACTAAATAAGCAACAGTGTCAAATAATGGATCAGTCGTGATCAAAAATAATCAAAATTATCAATCGATTATAATTTTGATTTTGTTGCAGAAAAATCCGATTGAAAATCGCGAAAATTTTTCACTGGGAAGGACTTTTGTGATATTTATTCTTACACCAAGTTTCCCCGCTTAGATCGTATCTATATTAGCATCAATTAGATGCTTATAAATGGGATTTTCATTCGTAGCAAAATTAGTTTAGCTATACGTGTTTGTGTCGGGTGTGGGTGTGGATGTAATTTCAGAAGGAAATCATCTCCATCTCCATCGCCATCCCCATATCCACTCGCACTCTCATGTACTACGAAGTCGATATGGAAAATAATATTTCGAATAGAGGTTGAAGACATATGAGTTTTATGGTTTTTGTTTGTTTCATACTAACAAAAATGTTCTGATACCAAATTAAGTATGTCAAATATTTTTCTCCTTTTATATTGCGCGTATGAGGGTACTTCCTCAGGTTTGGGTAAGCGTGTTTGGGTGTGTTCTTTTCAGAAACAACCACCCATTCTATTAGTCACGAGTGACTGTTTAAGATGATTTGTGACCTGGTTTGCTGTGAAAACAAAACTTGAATACTCGTCTATCATTCACCAAAAGATAAACTGTTTGAATTGTCATCAAGTGGATTTATACGACTTTTCTTTCCACTCTTCACTTTTGGAAGACCCTGGATATCTGCAGCAGCATTGTCGTGCGATGAATTTCGTTCAATTATCAATTTAAATACGCAGTATCAATAGAAAAAGGCATATATTTTCGATCAATTAGAGGTATGACTATCGCACGCTCTCGAGTTTTATTTCATACTCTACATTGCCATCTTTCTCTTGATATTGCTGGCCTAAGGAACACAAATCTGTCGGGCATTTTAAATACTGTGACATCTCGGTATAAATTCGAGTCTATTTAACTTTTCCCCCTAAAAAAAGTCACTTTTCGTCAGAATGGTCGAAATTGAGATAAATGCTGGAGAAGACAGCCCATAATCTCGTCTCTCATAAGCAACAAAAATTTTTAATCAATGCCTCGTTTTTTCCAAAAATTTTTGAAGCTTTCCGTCACTCCCTATTCGAAAAGTAAGCCATTTTTGAAAAAAAGCGAAAATCTTTTTCGTCTTCTCTCAGTTCATTATATCTCGAACGCGCAACCCATTTTTCTCTGTTCAGACTTCTATGATTTATTTGAATATTTTTTGTTAAAAAGAGCATGTCAAAATGCAGTGCACCAAAGAGTCATTTTTTTTTGAAATAAGCTTTTTTATAATGATATACGAGAGTGCCTCTATAGAAACGGCGACATTTTTTAGGGTTTTTAGAGTCATTGAGTTTGTCATCCCTTTTTTCCGTTTAAAAAGTAGGTATTGAAAAAATACTCTTTGGTGCACTGCATCTGAACATGCTCTTTCAAAGAAAAAAATCAATAAATATTTTATACAAGCCTTGACAGAGAAGTCTTATTTGCTGAATTTGCTATTTTTGACCCTTGTTTGGTGAATATCTCTGTCAAATGTCATGGTATCGGACTGAAAATTTTACCATAGTCCTTCAACTGCAGCCATAACATATTCTGAAAATTTCAGCCAATTCAGTCATGTCTTGGCTGCGATCAATTTTTTTAGAGGAAGGAAAGGTTGCTTAAATGAATATTATCAGCATCGCTCTGATTCATGAAGCTCAATTTCAACTGGTAAATCATCAATTCTAGTTCGATTTATGCATCGGTATCTTTAGAAAAAAAAATGTTTTGATTAGACTTAATATTAAAATATCAAGATGAATGTACTGAAAAAGAATAATTCTTCTTTTTTTTGTTTTGAATTAGTGTTACATTCTCTCCCTCAAAATTAATGAATCCATTCAATACAGTCGTACAAATAGTAAGTTCAAAACCGAACTGATATCAGTACTGACAAAGCAAGTCCTAAATTCGATAGAAATTGGCCGGCGTGAAACACCAATGAGGCTTGTTGGCGCTAGAAATCTATATTTTCATTTCAAGCATATTTTTTGTATTTTTATCACACTAATTTACTTCTAGTCGATCAGATGAGGGTGTGGGTGTGGTTATGGATGTGATTTGATTATGTACTCACATCGACATCACACCCACACCAGCACCTTCAAGAAATGTATCGATCAAGAGCTCATTACTTACTGAAGGTTTCACAATAGACAATCTTTTGCGAATAGCTCACCTGTCCAATGCAAATATTGATGGATGACTGTGGGTGCGAATGAGAGTATTGACACAGAAAAGACAAATCAACACTCACGTCCGTGTCGAACGATTCCCAAACAAACAGTCATGCCATCTAGAACTTCGAAAAATAGAAAAAATAGGGGAGATATGCGAAAAACGCAGACTCAGTACTAATAATCAGTAAACAACACAATATCTATTCACATGAATCCAATGTCCATACCATTTTGTCACTTTTCTTTACAAGAAATGAATTTCAATCTTACAGTCAATCATAAATATCAAGATAAATTGGAAGAATTTCTAAATTTGCCAACTATACGCTAAATAATTCTTTCATCGCTGATCATCCATTCATATAAAAGAAAACTTTTCGTACCATTATCTCGCTATTATCGACAAGAACGCCCCCTGTCCGTCACATTTGTGAATCCTAATAAAAAAACAACCATTGAAAACAATTTTACATCACGCTTCGTGACTAAAAGTAATTGTAAACGAACTGCAAGAATTTCTAGCAAAAAATGTTTTTAACCATAACTTCTACAGCTACAACTTCATATTTGTCGATTTCCACTAAAAAAAAAACATACTGTCCTCGTCAAAAACCTTTAACCATGATTTTTTTACGTATCTTATTCATGAGGTGTTTCTCAGATTCCAGTAGTTAATTCAATGAAAACCTTTTAGAGATCTTTCTTCAAGATTTTGAGACATTGTATTTGTCTGCTGTAAAAAAGTAAGAACTAAAAAAAAGGACTCTAACATGTTCTGCATTCTGACATGCTCTTTCAAACGAACAATTAGTTATATAGAATGAAGGTTCATAGAGAATTTTGAATTGTCAAATGCACTATTTTTGAATTCTTGTTTGTTGGATATTTTTGTCTCAAGATTGATCTTTGAACGAGGTGAAGGAGAATTCGTAACAATGAGACTTAACCGTCAAAGACTATAACTGATTTTCAAAAAACATTCTCAAATCTAAATTCTTCTTTTTGACAAGACTATCTCTTATTTATATGATTTTTTAAAATTTTCATCTATAATCGACCATGGATTAGTTTGCTCACAGAGATTAATCCATAATTGATTTTCATATGTTTACAGTATTTGATATATATTCCTTTTTAAGTTTTGAATTACATATTAAAATTGTTATATGCTCTAAAATAAAAAACCTTTTATATTATAACTATCTGCCGCTTTTTAAAGTAACTTACTTAAAAAAGAATTTTTTCAATTAAAAAGTACGTTTCAAAATAATTGCTTGTACATGCTAAGACAAATAAGTTTTCATTTTACCTAAATTTGTGAAAGCACTTAGAATAATTCACGTATCAGATTGTAGAATATTAGTCGACACACATGTACATCAATGAATCTTCCTTCAAATAATGAAGCATGACAGTTAAAGAATGTGATAAGTTATGCAATAAATTACCAAGCATGACAGTGATTTCGAGTTGTTTTAATAATATAATTTGATACCGAAGTTATTGGTTAAAATATAAATCAGTGTTCCTCCATGACCATGTAAAAAAAAACGGCAAAAAATCTGATTATAATAGGTTTTTGTGATTGAAAACCTATTATAATGGCATCATTATAAATCTAGTGTAATCAGACTTAAAATTAGAAAAATCTGTTTCAAATGATTTTTCTAATTAATCAGTGATGATCGATTTTGCATAATTTTAAATCTGATTAAATTAGAATTCTAATAGTCCCATTATAATAGATTTTTAATCACAAAGAATCTATTATGATCTATTCTTTTCTTCAAATTTGATCAAAATACGGCTTATTAAATAAGGGTGTGGGTGTGTAGGTGTGGGTCTGTGGGTGTGTGGGGTGTGGGTGTGGGTCAATAGATGTACTGCAACCACACCCACTCACACCCCACACTCCGTCCTCGTTAAAAGTTGAAAATGATCGCTTAAGATCGAAAATTTCCGTAATTATATTAAAAATAACTAAAGAAATCATTCAAAATTATACTACAAAACATTTTCTTTACTTTGATATTGAACAATGTGATAATACAATATTCGATCATGCAATAGGTAGTTATATTTGTCATGCATTTATTCCTTAACATGTGCATCGTTTATGAATAGCTTCACTAAATGAGATATGATTCACTAATTTCGTACGTATAAACTGTTCTCTGCTGTTTTTTGTCCCTACGAGTCATTATTGTATTTACATGGATAAGATTTTTTCCCATCGATTTGCTATTACATTTTCTTTTCTTACAGAGAAGTTATTTCCCTCCTCATCAAGATAATGAGCATCTACTCTCTCTCTCTATATCGTTGTAGGATATTCACCATGAAAAAAATCCCACTATTTTGACTAATATTACATATTGTGTGAAGAAAACATTATTGAGTTGAAATAATTTTTGTATAAATACTCGAACAGATTGCAAATATGTTATTCATTGATTTTTTATCTTATTTATCATCGTAATCAACGACTTCAAACAAGTAATCATAAGTACGTAAAGAAGATGATTGTATTTTGTTATACATGTATTTAAATCGTTTCATCTGCAAAGTAGAACAGGACACACAGAATTTCATATGACTATATCAATAGATCTAGAACAATATTTCGAATTTCAATCTAGTTAAGTGTATTTTCATTTCTACAGGTGTTCAGTATCATATTGACTAAAAATTTTCAAACTTTCAATACAAATATATTTTGATAAGTCGAGTAAAATTCATGCTAGACTCAAGGATTCCCGGATGCTTCTTTTTCATAGATATGGAAGATTCTTGAGATTTTTCCTATGATAATTTGAATCAAATTGGGATTTTGATTCATGTTTTCCTGTAAAATATTGAATTTTTGACTCAAAGTATTCAATATACTATACATTTCGGAAAAATCTTTTTGGTTTTAAGTTCGAACAGGAAGAACTCATGCAAGTCACAGTCAGAGCAGTTGTTTGATGTAGATTCCATATTCATGCAAAAGAAATAATCCTCTTTATGTTGTATTTAATTTTAAAATCGCTATCACCTGAGAATCTAGAACTGAGTTAAGCATTGTCAAACTTTGCTAATGGCTTTTGCTCATTTGTTTTGTATTAAAAACAGGATTTAATGTCATGATCTATAAAATTTTACGTTTTAGTCTTTGTGGACTTGTGTTTCAAAAATTATTGATAAATAAAATTCCCAGAAAAAATTTTAACATATATCGGAACTTTGAATTTTTTTCGATCGATTTTGCTGTATCAAGTTGTATATCAGAATCAAAACAATTAATTAGAAATACTCAATTCATTAGATTGAATAGTTTTTGGATATTTCAATGTTTGTAGTACCTCAAAGCCTTTACTCAGAATTAGGAACAGTTTAATGAGTGGTCTCTAATAAATGACTCATTTTGATCTTCGTTTTTTTTGACTTTCTCAAATGTTCTGTTCGAAATAAAATACATCGCAGAATAGAGCAAAGTGAACTGATCTTGTAAATTTGTCTTTATTTTAAAAATAGACAAAACTTCATTGAAACATTTTTCAACACTGAGAAATAAATCAGTTTTGAGTAGACAGCTGATCCATTTTCATTTAGTCAGAGAACAACACGATGACCATGTAGGAAAAAATATGTATATATATTGCCATCTTTTTCTTCTTTTGAATGTTTTTTGTTCGTCATTACATCTTTTGAGTTATTTTCATTTTATAGATATATGCAAGCAGCTCAAAATACAAGTCATAGTCAAACATATATCAATAATGTCATCTGCATTGTCATCAATTGTTTTATTATCTCTAATATCTATTCTAATTGTTGAGAATAGTGCTGTTAATTCATGCAAAGCTCAAGTCTATCTAAGTGACACATGTAGGACTACGGTATCCGTTCCCAATGATTGTAATTTAGGTATTTTTAATTTAACTAATACTGCTTATGCAAAATGTAATACGATGAGTGTTTTTTGGTCTTATCCACAACATAATTTAACATTAATTATTGAGACATCATTTACACAACAACATCAACGATATGCCATCTATCTCGATAATGAGCAATTAATGTCAGCTGTCTCACATGTCTATCGAATAATTAATAATCAAGAAAGATGTGTAACGACAAAAGATAAAACACTTATTCAATATTCTGATTCAAACTACAAAATTATTCTTAAATTTCAAGGTCCTGAACGTCTCGAGCGATATGGTGTTAATATTAATTATGATGCTCGCCGAATCTAAAAGGACAAAAATTTTACTTTAATGATTTTTATTAATAAAAATTCAAAGCCTTATATAGACAAAGTCATTTGTTTGAGACATGACTTCACAAAATTGAAACACATGTATCTCCAGATAATGAACTTTTCTTGAACTAATTAATATATATATATATATTATTAATTTAGATAATGTTTGCTACCGATTAATACAAATAGTTATTAGATTACCACGAATTTTACCTGAGAATAAAATTTTCTTGTTCTTTACAGTAATTTTCCAAACGATTATATTATAAGTAAAAGGAGCGCCTCTTCACACTTCGCTTTGAAACTTATTCAATTTTTGTCAGAATGTTCTCCCATATATTCTCTATTGCAGCTAGTAGCATAAATTAGCATAAAAATTCTTGAACACTATCGAAGACGTTCGAGAAAAAAACATTGTTTTTCAGGTATTTTCTATTTTTCACGAATCAAAAAAGTTTTTATGCATAATCAAATCATATTCAGAATCATCACAAGAAAGTGCATTGAGTCATATACGATAGTAATTTTTTTTCAGAGATATATTTTTTCCAATTTTTTTGCCATGAGTGCCCACAAGTGAATCTTTCAAAAATATTTATCTTTTGACAAGGATTGTTTTCATTTTTGATGATAAATAAATTAGGCTTAGGAATAACAATCACAGAGACGAAATAAATATTTATCGAAAAACAAAATGTCATGCCTACATAAAAAGTAAAAACGGTCCATTGTACGTGGATGTGGATGTGTTTGTTCTGTTCACAGATTCCACATTACACCCACATACATGTTAAAAACTTTATTTGTTCATATTTATTCAGCATTGTTATTCTATTCTCAGATAGAAGCTAATCCATCAGATCCTGTCTGATAGTCTTGATACCGACAGAATTCTATCGGAAGTATCCGGAACTTCAGTGACCAGGAGTCCGATAGTCGGTTTCGATTGTATATCAGGAAGTTCTGTGGAGATTCCATCGGTTTGCGTCGGATTCCGACAAAATTCGATGAAATCTGGATCGAAATCCTGGTCATTGGATGGTTTGACCTGGATTGTTTTGAGTTTCTGCTTCCAAAAAAGTAGACGAGGATGATTTGGAGGCAATGAAGCTTCTCCGATTTCGACTGCATTCTTCTGATATTTAACTGCTTCCGGATATTTTGCCATTTTATAATGAACCCAAGCAATGTTATTGTAAGAATCAGCTAAATTTGGCTGATTCAGATGTTGCATTTGTTGTCGAATTTCACGTCCTTTATTCAAGAATGAAAGCGCTTTTGAGTAATCTTTCATCTTAGTGTATACCACACCGAGGTTATTGTAAGAATCAGCTAAATTCGGATGATTCGATGATTGTATTCGCTGTCGGATGTCAAGTCCTTTTTCCAAGAGTGAAAGTGCTTTTGAGTAATCTCCCATATTATTATATATCAAACCAAGGTTATCGTAAGAATCAGCTAGATCAAGATGGTTTGGTAGTAGCACTATACTTCGAATTGCCAGTGATTTTTCTTGGAATTGAAGAGCTTTCGAATATTTTGCCACGTTGTTCAATACTAAACTAATGTCACTGTAAGAGGTGGCCAAATCTGGATGGTTTCGAGGAAGTATATTCTGACGTATTTCACACGCTTTGTCATAGAATGAAAGTGCTTTTTCATACTCTTCTAAATAACAATACACCGAACCAATGTTACTGTAAAAATCAGCCAAATCGGCATCGTTGGTAGGAAATATTTTTTGACGAACTGCTAATCCTTTCTCGTACCACAAAATTGCTTTTGAATATTCTCCGAGATTAGCATATACGAGACCGATGTTTGTGTAAGACGCAGCTAAATTAGGATCGTTGATGACGGATTTCTTTTCGTATACTTCAATTGATTTTTGAAAATAAGAGATCGCTCCTGTGTCGTCACCCAGCTTGGTTTTTATCATTCCAAGTTGATGATAAAGATTCCATGTTTCGAAGTCATCACTAGTTTGTTTCAGTGGTATTACGCACCAAAGAAATGCTTTTTCAAACTCGCATATTTTTCTTAGCAAATTACCCAATCGATGCCATTCTGTAGGTCCATGGATTTCGTTTCTCATGAATTCTGTCAGAGAGCTCCAATAGCCGTCGTTATGTTCCATCATTGTGAGTTTTACTTCCCAAAATCGAGATGCTTTATCTATTTGTTGGATTCGTTCAATTCGAAAGACGCTGTGTGTAGTAAACAGTACTTCTGCTTTATCTGAGTGATAATGCACATCTCGAATATTTGCAAAAGGAGTCGATGAAATTGATAGATCGACAGTGATCACAAATAACACTCCAACAGATTTTTTGTTCTTGGCTGCCTGCTTAGCAGAGGTAATAGAGATGTTACGATCTGGACTAGTTGATAAAAAGTGGTTGAACGAAAAAAGACTGCCTACATGCGATTTTAATTTTTGAAAGTCACTTGTTGGTAGTCCTTGACCACGGTAGACAATCAATAATTTTTCTTTACCTTTCTTGAACTGTTCGGAGTGAAGTTTTCTTAATTGTTCATGAAGATCGCGAATGAAAAAGCCCAACTTGATAATCGCTTCAAAATCTAGAGTTTGCAAGGAGTGTGTAAGCATTGAATAGAGAAAATGTGGCGCCGTATACCACCAGATAGGTGAATGTTGATGATATTCTTGTTGAAACTGTTCGATTTCTCGCTCCTGTAATTTGTTACCATGCGAGTCACAACAGTAGGCGATAAATTCTTGAATTGATCGTTCATCATGTTTCATAGCAATAAGACATTCTTTCAATAGAAGCGTGTACATGTAACTTTGATCAATAAAATCCATATTTTGATCTGTCGCATTGCTATTCAGAGTAATCGAGGTATCGATAGAGTCTTTTTCGATATTTTTTGCAGCGATTTTCATTAATTCACAAATCATGCCAAAATCTGTTTGAACACCTTTAATTTTGAACCAGTTCTTTGCCCATTGCTCATGCTTCGCTTTGTTTCGACAGAATATGAATATCGAATAGATTTGTGGCAAATGATGAATGCGAGCAACTATATTTTGACCAAGTGATCCAGATGTCACCATCAAGATTTTTGTGTCTTTTATTTTACTTAAATAAATGACGAATCTTCTAATATCAGTGAAAGTTTTCACATTATTTACAATACTCCGTATTTGATTAATTAATTCAGTATAACCTTGTTGTAATTTGTTGATGTTTGAATCAAGCCAGATAACCATAAGATCTAAAACGATACAGGAGTCAACGAACTAGCATAAAATACAAATGCCAAATTTATTTAGAAATGTTTCATTTATGTTTGTAATTCTATGGTGCTCTAGAGCCAAAATTCTGCTTCCTTCTTATAAACTCCTGCAAATATAACTCACCCAGTAAAAAGTGTATTTTGATGCCCCCAAAAAATATGCAATATGCAAAATTTGGATACTTTTATTAATAAATGATATAGTTTGTAATATACTTTAAGCAGTTACTTAATTAGAATGCCTTTTTCGATTTTCATAGAGTCTATCTTCAAAAGAATTTTCAAAGTTTCTATCCTTTGAACGAAAATGACATTATTATTCACTTTGATTGTGAAAATACGTATTTTTGATAGAGATATATCCACTACTACCTGATTTTGATTTTATGCTAATCATATTCATGGCTGCTGGTAATGTTTCATTATTGTTGTCCGTTATTTCTACTAGATGCACAACTTTTAGACCATCACTAATTTTTAAATTATCACTTTCCGCACGTAGTCGAGTGCCAGGACCGAGCAACACTTCATTTTCACCTGGATATTTTGTATAGCCACTCAAATTTCTACCGGTCACAGCTTCAATCATGAAGAATGTAGCATTTGTATCGTTGCCGAGAAATTCTTTGATGATATTAAGTGTGGTTGCGCAAGAGCTCACACTTCGCCAAATTATTTCACTATCTTTAATAAAATTCTTGTTTACATCATCCTTCGTACCACGCCAAAGGCGTTTTTTCTCTGTGGGCAATTTTGTAAGTGCAATTTCGAATAATTTGAGATAATTATACCATGGTATCAATGCAGATGGATCTTCGGATTGCAAATCCTTATTCAATAATCGATATAAACTATGAGCACCCCATTCCATGGTATAAAGATAAATCGAGGCTGATTGATCATGTGTGAGGTCATGTTCGGATGGAAAATGACATTTTTCCAAAGCCTCCTGGATATATTGACGCAAATGATCAATACGAGGCACGATGGGTTCAAGAGCATGTTCAAGTGGAAGTAATGATTGATTTCGATAATCATAGTTTGGTGGAAATCTCTTGTTATTAAGATCAATGTCGAGAAATCGATTCATTACGAGTTTTATATCTTAGATTGAACAATTTCACTATTAGTCTTGTCAAAATGACATACGAGAATTCACAAAACAATCGTCTTTTTACGATGGCGTGATTGTCACTCGATTACGTTAAAAACGAATAATTAAATCGTTTAATCTACTGACTGGATCAGTTTTGTTCCGAGACGAGACACATGATCAATAGCTGATAAAGGTTCAGAAAACCACTTTGATGATAACTGTGAAATTTGACGACTTTTGGCGTGTACTATGGAACGATAGTAACGTTTTCGATGGGCTATAATATTGACAATAACGATCAGGCCGAAAGGTTTTCAACGAGACCCTTTATTGACTTATATTTTATCTACAATATTCAACAATAATAAATAGTAATTAACTTAATAAAAGAAGCCTAGGCTGTTTTCTAACAAGTAATGCTATCGAATGTTGATTCATTTGTCCTTAGATCGAGAGACAATGAAGTATTTATTAACTCTTTTAGTAGGATGACAGCAAGCAATTTTTTTCTGGTTATCCATCTATTGAATTATTAAATTCAATTCAAAGTCAAAATAAATAACATTCAAGTTACAACAGCGATGGACAGATTTCCAAAATTTTCCCATGGGAAAAACGAATTTTCTGAAATTTCT